AGGAGGAACTTCAATTGAATAAGACCGGGCTTAAAAATGGTGAAAACATTGGGCCGAAAAAGGGGGCTGGGTCCGTTAAGGGGCCTCTAATTGGGGCCTTCGGGACGATAGCTGATTATGCCAGTATTCGGATGCAAATGGCTTTGGCAGGTTGTAAATATTAGCGGCAAGGGATGCCTGTGCTTATTAGCACTATCCCATATATAGTACGTATATATATAGGAGCTTTATCGGCGCAGCTGCATCGCGTTTAGAGCCATATTCTAGAGGGTCCAGAGGCCATTCGGCGAACTTCGTCTACACTAATTTTCTGCTCGTAAAATCAACTTTAATTGCGAAAAAAAAAGACAACCATATTTTTATTGTTCGTGCTGGAGAAATATTATTTTGTGCTCTGTTCCTGGATAGATTCCTGGCCATATAATTAAGCAGCCATTTGGGCCAAATATAATCCCGACTTGGGCAAAGTCCGCCGCGGAGTATTAAAAATAATGCCAACATATTAACTGGAAATGTCGTAAATTATTCACACAAATGACCTGTCAAAGCTCCGGGAGCAGCCACAGCCACATTTCTCATAATAAACTCAAAACAAAACAAAAAATGCAAACTACGCTCTCCATTTGAAACGAAATCGAAAACAAAATCACGCAGAATGTATGAACCCTCGAATATATGTATATACACAAAAAATACATTTTACAACTTTATTTTACGAGCGCAGCAAAGTTTTTGTTTTCTGGCGAATTTGCCGGCCCTAAAGGTTCTACTCAGACTGAGAGAAGGGCTTTTTCCAGGGTCTTTGGACCTGGTCGAGATCGCTGCCTGTCTTAAGAGCCCGAAATTAGTGCTGGGCATTAATTTAATTAACTGAACTCGAAGTTTATCGATTGCCGCCGCTTGGTCATGGTTACCTTGACCACCAGTCGGAGCTTCTTCGGTTTTATGTCTTTCCAATTTTTATATTTCTAGATAAGGACTTTTTACCACTTTAGCTTCAGGATATGCCAGGATATTGTTGCAAAACATGATGACTGGTAATTCATTTTGCAGCTGAGGAAAAGGCCCTTGAACCTTGTTAATTTATATAATTTATTTTTACAGCTTTCCTGGAAAATGAATAACTTCTGAAAAGGTGAAAGGAACAACACCAATAAAATAATGAATACATTTGTATTAAAAAAATTTAAAGCTCATTTATAAAGCGCCTAAATAAAAGAGAGGAAAACTATTTAAATATAAGTTTTAAGTAAGAAAAATATATGTTTTTACTAAGAAGCAAGAAGTTAGCTTTTTTTAAACTTTGGTCTTATATCTTCTCATATAAAATATTAAACTTAATCCTGTGAATTTCAAGGTGTGCTCAAATCGTAACTCTCTCTTTATAATTTACTTATTCCTACGATACTATATAACTAGAATAACCTGAATTTCGAACTAGATGTTCGAAATGCATCGAATTAAAGCGCCCTTAGCCTTAACATGATTTTGAAATTACCTTCGATAAGTGAAAAACCAAGAGGAATGCGATGCTGTACTGGAGCAATAGATTGTTCTACACGATGGGGCACTTAGCCTTTATCGGTGGGATATGATACCCATCAAAATTAATGACAAAATGATAGCCTTGATGGGTCAGGAGACCGGAGGAGAGGTGCCAAGTGGGTAACCTCGCGTCTGGAGGTGTATCGAAGCCGGCATGACTAATTCCGGAGTCAGGACTTGGACAGCGCCAGTGTGGGCAGCACAGGCAGAGCTAATGAGGCGAGCCGTTCAACTTGTTTTCTTTGGGGGAGTTGAGAGAGCCTCGTAAGGGGGGGACCAGAGGAAATTGCAACAAAGTTGTCCGCTGCTAGAGCGCGAAAAAAAACCCGATCTGGGTTCCTGTTTAAACAGCCAGACGACGACTGGTTGGGCGATAGAGATTACGAGTAAGTTTACACGTTTTCAGACATCGGGGCCACAACCTAACACATCCACTGCGGCTACTGGAGGTAGGATCTGCAGGAGCAGCCAGAGGACCCAGAGGAGCCAGAGGAGCGGAGCAGCTGTATCAATGCCAAAGTGATTGACGAACTGCCTGCCGCAGATGACAGACGCTGGTCGTATTGTCTGCACTTATGCTAAACGATCACCGTAATGTGCGATCCATGTCTGGCTGCCATTACCGGTGCATAATATGCATAAAGCAGTCACCGGCAAGTGGAAAATGCAACTGTGAAAAGGTTTCATGCCTGCTTAGCACCTTGATGGATGGTCATGTTGGATTGGCCCGACAGGTTGGCTTGTAATTGTCCCGGACTCTCGGATTATGATGCATTTGTATGCCGTCTCGTGTGCCTAGATGCAATTAGGGGAACGTGGTCAGCCGAGCGTTGTCTATATCCTCCTGCAGCACCTGATTCGCTGGACCCTCACCCTTCTTCTCCCCCCCAAGACATGGTTTTAGCCACTAATGAGTCTGGTATGGGCCCTAAAATATGCCAATTCTAAGTTCTTGGGAATAATGCCACTAAATGCCTATCAGACGGAATCAAGAAATTGTCTTATGGCAAACTCAATAAAAGAAATTATTCACGAGGGATAGTTTTCCATACTATTTGCATGCAAATGTGCTGTAAAAAAAATCAATTGCATGTCAGCAGGGGTTGTAATCATTCTATTAAAAAAATTTAACAGTTTGATGATTTCTTTTATTGAAACAAAATGAGTTAGTGAAATGAAGAGTTTCGTATAGAATTTATTTAAAATATTAAATAAAAATTTAATGGTAATTTTCCTTTTAAAAAGTTGAATCAAGACTTAAAAAATGGAATATAAATTAGCTTAAGTTTTCTATTGTTTTAAGGTTGAAATAAAATTTAGCTTGAGATTTGCTAATGTTCTATCTCTTTTATTTACTTTAGAAGGTTAAATAGTAGTGTTCAAACCCTGTTAAAAAATTTTTAAATAAATCTAACCCACAGCTAAACTCAAAAAGAACACATGTATTTAGTTCACACTCCAATTGTTATTTTCCCACACATAAATTAAGCTCAACTGCTTCAAGATCGAGCGATCAAATTGCGTTGGAAATGGTAGGCGGCACTTTTGCCTTCAGGTGTCAACTGTTGACAGCTTGGTGGATCTATGTTAATTGATTATTTCATGCCCCGTCACCGATGCCACTTTGCCGCTCCTTTCGAGCAGCTTGTGACATGTGCCCCTGCATGTGGATACCTTCACTTGGCCAGCCTTTTCCCCCTGTTTTCTGCTGTTGTTGTTATGCGGTACTGGGTGCTGGCCTCTGAGGTATATTGATTCGTTTTCAAAACACGTATTCAGTAATTCAGTCTTCAGGAGCAATCAACATGGTCAGAACATGTGTTTTTTTTAATGAACATGAGTTTCAATTTTGGTATAACTATACTCAAGATATTTTAACATTTTACTTTCCGTCTCTTTAAAATTTATATCTTTAATATTTTGCTAAATTAAGGCTATTTTAAGTTGTGTTGTCACTATTTGACAGTCTGCTTAGCCACAAGACAAAGTATAGGATGCATTTTCAGAATAAATAGTATATTCATTGGAGTTTAATTTAGTTTTTATATAAAATGTTTCAGACTACTTGAGTTGATTTTCTACAAAATACACCAAAGAAATGATTTATATCCAAAAACGAAAAAAAGAAACATGTGCAGCGATGCGATTGCTTAAAATTATACAAAGTATCCTAGGGCTCCTCTTAAATGAGGATATATAAAAGCGTATTAATCTAAGCAGTGGGTATTTCCGTGTCGAATCAGCATGCAGTGCTATTCCCGCCGGCTTCTTTTGTTATTTACTAGTCTGGTCTTCGGGAACAGCACACAACACAACTTGATTAGGCCTTCTGTCGGAGGCGTCTCTCTTCTCCCTGCTCTCCGTTCCCTCTTGCGTCCTGCCTGCTACCTCCTCCCTGGTCCCTGCCCCAGTTGCTCATGGTACGTGCCGAGACGGCGCGTCGTTGGTGGATCTGTCCTCGTTGCTCCCAGCGTCGGCACATGCGGCCTATAATTAGGTGGCAATCATTTAGAGGCGCGAGACGCACGGCCACTCCTTGCCAGAGACTCCTCTATGCGGACGGGGCCAGGATGAAAAAACAATTGCGAAAAAAAAGGGGGGCAATTTTCTTTAGGCTTTTCATTTTCAATTTTCCCTCTGCACTTTGCTAAATGAGCCATAAATATTACTAGATATTTGCCAAGATCGCAGATAAAGCGAGTTACACGATTCATCATACAATCTTCTGGGCGAGGAAATACGGCGACCCAAAGACATGACAGAAACAACAAAGAACGCGAAAATAATTGTACTAAATGCCCCGGCACTAGATCACACATAGGCCATTTGACTAATGTAACGAAGGGCTATAAAATGTATTTTAATAATATTTAATCTCTTTATTTAATTGCAAAATTATGCAAATTATCACACTTCTGCTTAGAAGTCTTTCAACAAAACGAAGCCCATGTTATTTTAAATACCGCTTAAATTGAAAATTAAATCGAATTAAATATTTATAAGTTAAGCAGACTCATTAAATCCAATTAAAAAATATTCTCGCGATGTCAAGTTATCATAACTGATATATTTGATGGATTTGTAATGGCTTTGAATTAATAATTATAATAAACTTTGCAAGGTGGGATGAGAGAGGGTGCCTCTTAGAATTAGAAACCAAGCTGGGAAACTGAATTGATAATTGATTAAAATACTTGGAAGATATAGAACAAAGAATTTGAATATGATAAATTGGATTTTACTAACATCATCTATAAATAGTAATGATTGCTTGCTAACAGTTAAGCTTATATTGTACATTTTAATTGCTTCACTTTAATGAATGTTGATTTTCGCAAATATTTTAAAAATAAACATTTTCTGAGAACAGAATCCCTCAAATTATTATATTATAAAATTTATATTATAAAATGTATACTACTAAATTTATATGCAAAAGCATATCTGGCACTCACCCAAGGGCACATTGGCGCCATTCTTGCGATTGACGGAAACTGAGATCGGCAAAATGGCGGCGCCGGAAGTGGACGATGGCGAGGGCGAGGATGAGTCGCACGAGCCCTCCAGCGACTGGGCAGGCGTGGGAACCGTGCTCATGTGATGCTCGGCGCTGGTAATCACCGAGGTGCCGTTGCTGCCGGCCCTACCGCCGCCGCCGCCTCCTCCTCCTCCTCCTCCAGATCCCGGTCCTGATCCTGAGCTGGCTCCTCCGCCGACAGCCCCGTTACTGCTACTGCTGCTTGAAGTGGCCGCTGCACTGGCACTGCTTGAGCTGGCCGCCGCTCCTCCGCCAGAACTGCTGGTGGCCGGACCCACACTGCCGCCATGCTCGCTGTGCGGTGGAGATCGCAGCGCCGTCTGCTGGTGCGCCGGCTGCTGCTGATGCTGCTGGTGATGCTGTTGCTGGAGGTGATGGTGCGAGTGTGGGTGGCTCTGGTGCTGAAGGTGCTGTTGCTGGGCGGCAGCGGCAGCGGCCATGTGCACATGATGGGCATGGGCGTGACCATGCAGGCTGGAGGCCGCAGCGGATCCGGTCAGATGCGATGGCGGAGCTGCCGGAGCAGCGCCCGCCGCTGCTGCTGCTGCCGCTGCCGCCGCCTGCTGGTGATGGAGCGAAACATGGCCGTGGTGCGAGTGGTGTCCGTGAGCATGGTGTGCGGCATGTACGTGGTGGGCATGGGCATGGACATGGGCGGGAGCAGCAGCGGCGGCGGCGGCCACATGGTGATGATGTCCTAGCAGGGTTGTAGTGGCCGTTGCCGCCGGCGGCACCTCATGCATGTGGAGCGCCCGCTGCTCGTCCTGCGCCTGGGCTCGCCTCAAAGCTGTCTGCAGGGCCATCACACGCTGTCGATCCGCCGTGAGGCGACACTTCTCGCAGGTGCAGTAGCGGTATTTGCAGTACCGCTTGTGACCCTTTAGGGTGATCTTTAGACCGTGGTTGCGACAGCGGGCACAGTTGGGCGGCGTCCTGGGCGAAATGGAGCTACCGCTGGAGCTGGAGGCACCGCCGCACACGTCATTTTTCGAGTCGATCATGTCAGAGTCGGACATGGTGTCACTGTTCCAGTTCTCCTCCGAAACCATGTCTGCAGATTCTGGTGTCCTATTCAGAGGATAGTTAGCGATAGGATAGTATGGCGCTTCCTTTAGGCCAACTTCTAATGCATTTTCTGCAATGGCTAACAATCGAGATATTCTTGTATTTCCAATATGTTTCTTATTTGAGAACTTGAGCAAGTTAAATCTTAGTTATTGATTTTGAATATTGATAGAATCGGAGTTTATTTATGCTTGTCTATAGATAATTGAGGATTATTTTAGTTATTAGACCCTTTGCTTCACTTTTCATTATCGGATCTTAGCACCTGAAAAGACAAGATTAAGAAATTTGATTCTAATTACTCCTTTTAGCTTTCACTCTTCAATTAAATAATACATTTTTTTCGTTTTGGTAAACAAATTTCCTGCATTTTATATAGTATTTGTTCGAACAACTGCTGATGTAATTCCCACATATAACTCAAACTGCGAGCGCAAAATATTTATTATCGTTCGGGAAGATTTGCATTTCCTTATTTTTTTGCATGCTCGGCTGACGGTAGCCAACAAACAACATTTGTATTTATAACGCCAGCAAATATCTGGCATATTTTTGCAAACATCTCACTCCGAAAAAAAGTGATTGTGCAAAAATATAGGCAGGCGGTGAACTTTGCCTCCATTGGCCGTGGATCATTGCATGTTAAAGGGCAATTCGAATATTAAAAATTATTTTGATTCGATCGGCCACGCCTTCTTTATATAAAAGAGCACTGATTCCAGATTGGCTTCGGGATATTAGTTACAACCCGAAGGTGGAGCCGGACATGTAGATACAATGTATCGATCGGATCTGTCACGGTAACATACTAAGTGCACATAATACTGTCATCGAAATGGTTCCAGCGGATGCGCAAAAATCTATCAGTTGACCTTTATGAACTCTCGGCAGTCCATAAATTTGCCAAGGCCTTTTGCGTTTAAGAGGAGAATTCACTAGAGATATTTACTTGGAACGCTTCATTGGGATTCGTAAAATAATATTTCTAAAATGTATACTTGGTATGAATTATATTCACAAATTATTCACTTGCTGTTTCTAAAGTTTAAAAGAAAGTTTAAAGAAATTATCAAAATTCAACACAATTATTTTTCAAATTTCATAAAAAAACAGAGACAATTGATGAATACATTGTAATCTTTTAAGTGAGAAAGGTAAATAGAGGACGAGAACACAAATATTTAATATTAATGTTATAACAATAACTATTTATACCCCCCTTGCTAATTTAACTTTAAATTTGCTTATAAAACGTCCAAACAAAATGTTTTTTTTTTTTAAATTACCTTTTAGCTTACAAGTTGAACAGATTTTTTCGTATTTTAAATATTTGCAATAGCTTTTAGAAATGTGATTTAGTTGTATTTGCCAATATCCACTATTTAAAGTTAACTTTTTATTATTTAAGGGTTTTTACTAGCTGCTGATTAGAAATATGGCGCAGTTGCCGTATAAACTTTCAGAAATATAGGAAAATAAATCCTCGGATTCGGATTAGCTGCGAAGATTTTCACACACCCGCACTTGTATTCCACAATTCCAACGATATACAGTTACTCTGGGCTGTATCTATTCAGATATCGATCAAGTATCGTCACACAATAAACAAAAAAAATCACAATTGCAACTCTTTTACACGATCGCGCTTTTTGTGGCTTTCGAAAAGCCGCCGGTGAAACGAGCTAAAGTAACCGATTTAGCAGAGTCTGAAGACGAGCGAATAATCAATATTTATAGGTCGTTCTGATGCTGAATTTGTATCTGTAGCTGGATCTGGATCTGGTATCCGTAGAATGGAACTATCCGCGAGTCGCGAGCCGAGCTTTCTGCCGCTTTAGCTGCTTTGGCTGCTGCTGTCCGATCTGAAATCTTTGGCATGCACAAGGCAACTCACATTGGGCCGCAAGACGCGGATGCAAAGAACTCAAAAACGCCGAGTCGCTCGGCTGAATGTGTGTGAGTGCGCGAGAGCGCCTGTATGGGTGCCAGCCCCGGCCGGTGTGTGTGTGCGTTGTAAGTGTGTGCGTGCAAGCGGGCACCGCCAACGAAACGGAACCGAAAATCGCATCGAGAGAGCCAGAGCAAAGCCATCCAAGCACAGCACAGTGGACCGAAAGTCCTCAAAATGTGAATCCTTACTAGAAATATCCTTCAAATTACGGTTATTTTAATAAGATGTTGTACTATTTTTAAACATTCCTTCGGTATATCAGCAAAACAAATATTTGTAAACAATACATTTTCCTTTGTTTCCCATTGCCTAAAATATTTGATTAAATTTCAATAGTAATAAATAACAAAGTATTTGCAGGAAATCCAACTAAAATGCATGGATGTGTGTAAGCTTTTTAATTTAAAATCGGTATAACCTAAACTAAATTTCTTTATATTTATTATATTTAAAACTAAATGATTGTAATATTGTATATCACTAAATAATTAAAATTTTGTTTAATTTTTTTTAACATTAGATCTTAAATAAATATTCTGTTGCCTTCTAAGATAATATGCCCCCAAAAAGTATGCAATGGTTTCTAAAGTCGGTTAAAATGGTATGATCGAGTCATTAAACTCTATATTTCTATGTTTTCTAGATTCTAAATATTAAATTTGAAATGTATTATCATTTTCTGAAGCATTATAGCTTTTTTAAGCAGTTTTTAAAATTCTTAATTTAAATATATTGTATTTAATGGTTTTCATTAAATTATTTAAATGTTTAAACATTTTTTCAAGCTCTTTCTCAAATATGATTTCAAAATATTTAAAAAAAAATTAAAACAAAAACACTTAGTATAGAATTTGTATACTTTGTTTAAAAAAAAATTTGAAGGTATTTTTCCCATAACAACTGGATAAAGCCCTTTGGTTTTGGAACCACTGTGCGACGTCGACGTTGCGTGCATTTGGAGAAATGTGGGGGCTGCACACACACACACACACACTCACTCCTGCTCGCATACACTCACTCGCGGAAATGCGCAAATACAAACAGACGGCGGCCCTTGTACATAGACAGCCTCACACACATTGGCTGGCTGAGTCGCTTTGTTGTTGTTGTTGCTGCTCTTGTTGCTGTTGCCGCTTTCGCTGCAATGCCTGTGGCCGGTTGCATTCGCCTTGCAACTTGTTTGAGTTGCAGTTGGACCGAGTTGCATTGCGTTCGGCTTAGTTTAGCTTTGTTTAATTCCTATCTTCAGCACGTTCTCTTTGTGCTGCGAATTTTATTGCATTTGTTTTGGTTATTTCTTCGTTTGAAAGGGCGTTCAAGTGGTGGGCAGTATAGGCGATAGCACTGTGACTTTTTCGACTTGTGCAACAGAGCTAAAGGGGTTTAATATATATTTTGTTATATGGGTCGATCACTATGTAAATATTAAAATACCTTGGATTAACAAAAATGTGAATTTTAATTCTAAAAATTCCCTCTAATTAAACCCATTAAAAGTAATTGAATTCTTTAGAAATGATTATTAATATCGTAAATGTCTTATATTATAATAAATATGTCTTTTAAGTGTTTCATGGGGCGTATGCGTAATGTGACTAAGTACATAAATCTATTTCTTTTGACTTAGAGATTCCTTTCTTTTGGTTCAACGACAACCTTATCTTCTGACAAATAGCTATAAATGTGTGATCTGATAAGTCTCGATTTGTATGAATTAAATCAGAATTAAATCAGATCTAATTGCGAGTTAACATAAATTAGCATAAAACAAAAAATCGATTAATCAATCTACAATACACGTGTTACAAGCTATTATATTTAATATGGATTTATATGTTATACAAGCCAATTCAATCATATTTATATTAGTTGACTCTACTATGGAATTAGAGGCTATTAAAGGAGCGAATTCCAAACCCTTGTGCTCTTGCACAAGAGCAATAACTACTGTCATTTAAATGAAATACGAGTAACTTATGGAAAAGCACAAATTAAAAAAGATATCACCCCATATACTTTAAAGAATAAACTCCATATCTAACTAGGTTGAACAAATACAAGTGAATGGGTATTATTGTTTCAAACTGCGTTATCTATGAGCTCTTTGAATATAAGACTACTGAAATATCTTTTAAAAACCTTTTATAAAACGTACAATATCCTTGGGGAAGGGATATATTTTCTATTCTATTTAACTAAAAATTAATCAATTTTAAGCGAGAATGACTCAGTGAACTTGCACAGGCTTTGCGACCCATTTTTACGTATACAATAAGCACTAACGATGCTTGACGACTGATTAGAACGGACCTGTATTCTAAATTAAAGATAGAGAGAAAAAGTGACAACAGGGAGCAACAGACCAATGATTAAGTATGTAGTTTTGCTGATTAACTGAACGATATGAAGTGTTAGTTTGCCTCATTCTTGATCGGCGGTAATTACTTAATTTGGGTGTCTAAAGAGTTAATTTACCATTTTAGCCAGGAGAGAGGTAATTGAGCATGAATGATATGTGGTGTTGATAACGGGTCTCGCAGTTCGCAATTCGTGCTGCTACCATATGCCCGCCCCCTTTCTTCCACCGCCCCCAACCCCCCGTTGGCCACGGGAAAAAGTTGTTCCTCCGGCCGTTGTATTTAAAAACTGCACACGATCGCTTATCTTGCATGTCGCGACTAATTTGTATTTGAGGAGAGACCCCAAGAAAGAGAATCGCCCCGAAGAGCCACATATGAAGAGAAAGACAGAGGGCCTATCAGTGGAATGGCATTCCTAGATTTGCTAATTATGCGATGCATGCACAAGCAAAAAAATAAAAATTAAGGCCATTAAATATTACATACATAAATATATTCATAATAAATACAACGGGCGAAGAGAAATAATCGTTTTCTCAACGACAGCTGCCTTGAAAAATATATAGTTGTTTCCTTATGAATCTAATAAAGTAACTACAATTAACTTGGAATTTTTGCCTGTGTAAGTTGCAAGGAAACCAGAAAATGTATCAAGGAAAGCAGCTTTTTTTCTCAACGAGTTAAGTCGTGAAACGTCTTCAAAGTTAAATGGGATTATTCGCTCCTTGGGGGCATGTCTGCTTAATTAATTAATTTGTCTAAACCGGAAGGGATCACGATAAAGAACCCACTTCAGGTTATTAATGGGCCAAGGGTAACTCCGCATATTAAATACCCAAAGCACGGTCATGTCATTAAAATAATAATTGCAAAAAGTAAGTGAAGACCATAAAAATTGATTGCGAAAGATGAGAAATATATAATCGTGATCGATCGATTTATCATAGTCGGCGCTAAAAAACCGGCTTGGGCAGAACTTTCAATGGAATATGGTGTCTTAGCCTCGGCTGTGTGGCTTTAAATAACTTGATTTTTCCATTTCTATTTGCATTTCCCTCGTAACTTTGGTCCAAATGGACTTATAAGCCTTCCTCCAGGCACCGATCACCGATCACCGCCTCCGCGATCCACTAGTGGTGTCTTGGGACGCCTGACTGGGACTCTGGCAATAGAACACGACTGCTGCTGCTGCTGGTTTCCTGTTCAATTTGGTAGTCAGACAATGGCCCAAACCCCTCTGGTTGCCCCCATCCTTGGTCTATAAAAGTCGCTCACTCGCTCGGCAGTTGTAGATGGCAATCGCGGAGCGTACCTGCCGCTATCGCCATTAAGCCGTGTACACACGAGCATTTTTGTCAGGCAATTACAAGGCAGTTTGCAACGCCCCCGAAAGCGGGACACTGGGGTGTTCCAAGCGGCGGCAGAGCAGGGTAGTCATAACTCATTGTTCACTTACCGGGGGAACAATGCGACAAACAGACAGACAGGCAGGCAGTGGCAAAAGTATCTGCATCTAAGTACATATCTCTGGACGTATCTCTGCATCTGTATCTTTTTCTGCAACTGCAATCTGCTGGCGCAATGTTCTATACTCCTTGGTTATGCAAGCGCGCGCCGCGAGAGGGACCGAGAGCGATAAAAGTTCGGATCGAGAGTGAGAGTGAGCGGGGAGATAGAGAGAAAGAGAGTGGAGCCGGTAAAAATATTATTTGTTATCTGGAACCACAAACAAATTAGCTTGAATCTGGTCTCCCCTTGGGGTCCGCGCACATACTAAAGATATTTTCAGACTTTACACAGCCACAAATAAGGGCCCAGAAACAGATATTCGGAATTCGCAACTAGCAGCTTGCTGTTTGCAGTTTGCAGTTCGCAACACTTCGCATTTGATTCGATGTCGCTCCAGTTCTGTTTGGGTTAAGATTGCGGTTTCGAGCACCTACCGCGGGAACGCGCACGAGCGCAAAGGACGATCGATGCGAGCAAACTGGTTGCGGAACCGCCAAAGCTCTGAGCACGACACCGGCCACACTGAGGCAGGCACCCGGACCAGTACCAGTCCGACTGGTGACTAGCGAACCGCCGGCAGACGCTCGGACTCGCGGACACGCGGACAGATGAACGAACAGCCGGACGTAGGGATAGCAAGGGGGTCCGCGGAGCATGTGGTGCTGGCACAGAGACGGGCCCGCCGACTGTCGCCTCGTCGCGCTGCCTTCGGTATTTGCACACTCCGGTGCAGCGCGAAAAAAAAAAACGATAGCGGGAGTAGTCGATGGCCACGATTAATGAATACTCTATAAATAATTAAAGTTTAAAGGTAATTACAATTTAAAAAGGTAACATATATCTTTACTGTATTAAATATATTTAAAAATTAAATTGTGGACTTAAATTTGTGTTAGTTATGGGAATTTACAATTTAAACATATAATTTTAAAACCAAAAACAACAAAATTTTTAATTTCTAGAATCTAGGAGTTAATACCTCAATTTTGATAAAAACAAAGGGTTTAGAAAGCCTAAAAATAATGAAACTTAAATCAAAAAGAAAAAT